ACCATAGGCACATGCTACCACATCCAGCTAATTGGTTGGTTTTTTTTTTTTTGAGTTGGAGTCTCACTCTGTCGCCCAGACTGGAGGGCTGTGGCATGCCCCCGGGCACCGCAGCCTCGACTTGCTGGGCTCCGGCGATCCTTCCACCTCAGCCTTCCCACAAGACACTAAAGGATGTTACACATTTTCGGTATGTATTCTGACTGCGGCATGGAAGAGGAATTGGAATGGAGAAGAGCATTAATCAGTCAAGAAGAGCCATTAAGAAACCACGACACTCATCCAGAGAAAGGAGAGGACCTGGGGACAGAGGGTAGAAGAATGTACCTGATGGTCAAGTTGTTGAAGGGGTGAAATGAGAAATAAGTTGTTTAACTTGAGTGAGGAGGCTGTATGGAATTGGGAGCTTCTGCAAGTGGTCATTCTTGAGAGGGTTGGGGATCTGGATAAAGACAAGTAAAATATCTATTTTTCAACATTGGGTTGAAGATTTTGCATTTGTAAATGGCAATGTGTCCAGTTGTGAGATTCTTTCAGGCTGTAGTCTCTCATACCAGTCTTCTGACAGGGGTTCAAGATGAGGGACCCACTCAGAACCAGGGGTTCAAGATGAGGGACCCACTGAAGTCTTAGAGATGTTCAGCAGCTGGGATAATAGAAAGTAAAAGCAAAGGCCTGGTGTGATGGTTTATGCCTATAATCTCAGCACTTCAGGAAGCCAAGGCAGGAGGATCACTTGAGGTCAGGAGTTTAAGATTGGCCTAGGTAAAGACCCTATTTCTACAAAAATTAAAAATAAAGTTAGCCATTCATAGTGGTGTACACTTGTAGTCCCAGCTACTCAAGAGGCTGAAGTAGGAGGATCACTTGAACCCAGGAGGTCAAGACTACAGTGAACTATGTTTGCACGGCTACACTACAGCCTAGGTGGCAAAGTCTGTTTTTAAAAAATGTAAAAAAAAAAGTAGAAACAAAAATAAGTCCTGGGAAAAGAGATCTCAATGAAAAAGGGTTGGGGAAAAGGGGAGTGTTAGAAAGTTCAAGGCAATGCTCGCTTCAGTAGAACATGTACTAAGATTGGAATGATACCGAGAAGATTAGCATGTTAGCATGGCTCCTGCACAATAGTGACACAAATGAGTGAAGCGTCTCATTTTTTTTGTATTGCTCATATTATAGAATGGGTAGTGGAAGGGGTGGAGATGCACATTCCTCTGACTCACCAAGAAAAAGAAGGGAACCACAGTGGACGTGCCAGCATTTTAGCTGTACACAAGGAAGTAATGTGGGAAATTGTTTCCTTGTGGGAAAAGCCCAAACCGTACACAGCCGGCAGTCAATTCCAAGGTTTGGGTTGGACTCCTGTTGACTAACAGTTTAGACATCCTTTGTGGTTTAATAAATTATTTAATCTGCCTAGTTTTGAAGCATTATTTTGTGAAACTTGAAGGAGAACAAACATGATGTATATAAATAATATAAAACAAGCTTAACATCCATTTAACTGCAGTGTAAGAAAATTGGATGGTAATAATACTGCTTCAGCTATGTCAGCATTTATCTAGTGTGTACTTTCCATGTGTATCTGAAAGGAAGACATTTGCTGCCCTAAATTTAATTTCATGTATTTATCAATAAGTGCCATTACATGGATATTATATTACATTTTAATCTTTCCAATGAGAAAACAAATTCATCTATAGAACTTCACTCACTGCTTAACCTAGTCATGTGCCTCAAGTATATATGTGTCCCATAACCTGGCTCATGGTACCTGTTCTTCCATCTAAACCTTTCAATTCATGCTACCTTTTTTATTTATCTGATATGTATCTTAGGCCCACTGGAACTATTTTCATGTTGCTCTTGCATAGCACAAACATTTTTCCAGTCTTCTTTATCTGCCCCAAAGCCTTTTAATTGCATCAGCATTTCCTACTGGAAAATACATTTGCTTCAGAAAAACATTTGGCATTCCTAAATAACTTCCAGACGTTTTAAATCCAAAGAAAAAGGCCTAAAGGTGATTTTCCTTTCTTCTACACACCTGAATAAAATTGATGTGCCTGTTTTCAGGATCAATTACCTAACTGTTCCTTGGTCTGCTTATATATAAGAATGGTATTTAAAGCACATGTCTTGTTTTAAATGACACACAAACTGAAGAAATTAATAAAATTTAAGAGTAAAATAATGGAAAAAAAAGAAAAGAAAGTTCAAGGTATAGGAAGTTGTTCAGAGATTTTGAGAGGAGTGTGTAAAATTTCAGAGAATGATTTCCAAGCACTTCACCACTACTCAGCCGAGAATTTAGATGGAGTGCTTCAAAGGACGCTCATCCTCCTGCCACAATCAAGTCACAACTGACAGGCCAATATAGCAACTCTTTTTCTAAGCCTCCAGAGTCAAAACAGAAGAAGGTTCTGTAGCACTTAGGCTAAACTCACCTTCCTTTTAAAAAGGCAAAATCCTTGTTAACAGTAAACAGAAGGAATGCCTGTGTGCTAAAATAGAAACTGTTTGGCATTTTGTTCTTGTCACAGCTTGGAGGAGAAGGAGTTGCTGGAACCCTAACTAAGTCTTGGCCACTGGCCTTAGTATTTCAGAGGGAAATGGTTTTCTGTATTTCACAGGTGTTTATTTTTATTCCTCATGATTGCAGTCTTAGACAATAGTAAAAGATGCTGTATTGAGTTAAAAACAACAATAATTAATAAAGTTTCAGAGAAGCAGTTCTGGGTAATGATCAGACACAAACCAGGAGACTGGAAGAGAATTATCACAAAAGTTTCAGAAGCTGGGGAGTTTAAGGAACTGAGAAGAGGTTATCAGTAAGAGGTTTTCCCAGAAAAGGAAGGTAGAATGGGAAGTACAATTTGGGGAAGACCAAAGCTGTGTGGAAGTCAATCATTGTCTAGAGGACACCAATAAGTGACACATCAGAAATCAGAAGACACTCTGTGGGGTCACGAAGGCAAGCTCCACATCCTGCTGGTTTGGCATTAAGGTGAAATCCCTCTGAAAAATAATTGAGTTTGACAAGTATTCGTGGACTCTATAAGAGTATGAAACTAT